GATCACTGAATTTCATAGTGACCTGGACGGTGTCCTGGTTCAGGAAGTTAAGGGCATGCCTTCAACGTAGGCATGTTGCCCCTTGGGTTGAATTACACTCACCTGTCCCTTGTAATTCTGCCCCTTCTGACCCTTTTTTGGATGAAACTTCCTAAGAATAAAGGTTCCCCCAATAAGAGCCCACTTCCAAACGTGCTTGCTCTCTCTCACCAGCCTCTCGTGACTTTCTCTTGCTCCCCCATTTGGGGAGCCTGAGTCTGAGAGCGGAGAAGCCATCCTGAAGCTTTTTTAAAGGTAAAGTGTGTCTGTGTTTAATTTGGTGTCCCTGGAAATTCACATGTGACCTTAAGTTCAGCTGCCTGCGCAGATCGTCGGCAGCAGGTGGTGCCTGAACAGGGACTGCTCAAGGTGAATTTCCAGGTTGACTGACAGAGCATGTTATAGAAATTTAGTGAACCGTGTTTTTTTTTTTTTTTTTTTTTTTTTTTTTTGCAGGGGAGATGGTGGTCACAGAGGAAGCAGGTAGTTTCAGAGCCAGGGACATTAAACAATTATCATGGGCAGTTCCATGTCTTCAGATAAAGAAATGTATTTAATAATTCTGGAGACAATAATCAACTGGAGAGGAAAACAAGTTAGGAGGTCCCAGCTGACTCCGTTCCTGAAAACGGTTAGTGACATATACCCATGGTTTTGTCAGCAAGATTTGCCAGATTTGCATACTTGGGAGAGGCTAAGTAGAAAATTATATAAATTCTGCCCCTCTGCCAAGCTGTCTAAAAGTACAATAGAGAATTTCAGAAGCTCTGGACCTCTTTAGAAATGTGTCTTTTTGAAGATCTAGAACAGGACCAATGGTCCTCCGAGGACCTGCTGAAAGGGCTTCAGAGAGCCATTAGGAGTTTGGAGCAAGAGAAACGGCCCAAGGCAACTTCCAAGAGGCTTTCTCTTTCTGTGGTGGAACTGAAGGCAGAGTCAATTTTCGTTCAGTCTGCAGCTCAAAAACTGCGGACAGGCAGCTTCAGGGCAAGACCTAAGACCAAAAGTTCAGTCTCTGCTGAGCCTGACATACCCAGCAGCTTAGAGGAGCATCAAGGGGCGTGTTCCAGAGAGGAAACCAGCCCCCATTGGATTTCTGTGAGGCAGATTAAAAATGGAGAGGAACAAAATGGACAGGAAGATGCAGGCAAAAAAGATTCACAACCTGAGGGGACTCAATCAGAAGATGAGGAGGAGGGTTTTACTAAATTACCTCTGGCTGGCTGGGCACCCGCCATTCGAATTGGGCTGCTCTCCTCCAGGAGAACAGGGTTCAATAATTACTCTGAACTGGCGGTCACCATGCTTACACCCCTACAACGTGACCTTAGAAGAGCGCAGGAAGCGGGGGAAGACACTACAGGTTTTCAGCTTTTTCCAGTCTTTGAACAGATTAACTGAAAAACCAGCATGTTTGCATGCATGCTGCAGTTCCTTTTAATACTCTAAAGGAGCTCCAAAGCGCTTGCTGTACCTATGGTCCAAACTCCACCTTTATGCAAAGCCTGCTTGGTTCCTTATGCCATGAGCCTTTACCCCCAAATGACTGGATTTTGATGGCAAAAGCTTGCCTTTCCAGGGGGTGATCTTCTCCTTTGGTGATCTCACTGGACTAATTATTGCACAAACTGGCTGAGAGGAACAGGAGGCAAGGCTTTGATGCCCCCTTTGGAGATGTTAATGGGAACTGGGGAATTTGCAGACCTAGAAAGACAATTGGATTATGATCTAGTCATTTATGATCAGATTACTGCATGTGCCAAAAGGGAGTGGCTTGAAATATCTTACTGGGTTCAGTCTAAATTGGATTTAAGTCAGATTAAACAGGATCAAAAGAACAATTCTCCAATTTTGTAGCACGCCTGTACCAGGCAGCGAGCAGATTGATGGGAGACTCAAACGCCTCTGAGTTCATAGTCAAACAGCTAGCATTTGAAAATGCCAATAAAGTTTGTCAGGATATCCTCTTACCCCATCCGGGAAAAGGGGACAGTTTCTGAATTCTTTCGCCTTTGTGCAGATGTTGGTCCCACACAATTTCAAGGTTTTACAGTCTCGTGGCTTTAAAATAGGTATTCCATCCCCCATCCCAGACACTGGGCAGTTGAGTAAGGCATTTAGCTGTTAACTAAGATCTTATGGTTTTAAATCCCATCAGTCTAGAAATGAAGGGCTTAGCTTAATTAAAGTGATTGGTTTGCATTCAATTGATGTAAGATAAAGTCTTGCAGTCCTTAGTGCAGGAATTAAGTATTGGGTACTTGCTTAGGACTTTGAAGGTCCTTGGTCTAAATTAACCTAAATTCCTAGTTCAGTAGTGAGAAGAGGGGTATTAATGGAAGGGAGAGGGTAGAAGTAATGATAAGGATTGGTAGAAAAGGTATAAGTTTTATGTTTTCGAATTGTCATTTTATTTTGGTGTTGTTAAATGATGGAAATAGGGTTAGAGATGTTGAATAGATAAGTTGTGTATAGAAATATAAATTTAGGAGTGCTAGTATTGCTATTAGTGTAGAGAAAATAATGTTGTTATTTGAAATAAGTTCTTTGAGGATAATTCATTTCCATGTAAATCCTGTTAGAGGGGGTAATCCTCCTAGTGATATTAGTACAATTAAAATTGTAGGTGTTAAAAAGGGAAATTTATTTCATAAATTAGATAGGGAAAGGGTAGTAGTTTTTTATGGTAAAGGAGAAGTATAAATATGTTAATAGTAAGTATAATGTAGATGATTAGGTTAAATATTGTTAAGGTTGGATTATATGTATCAATTGCTATTATTCATCCTATATGGGCGATTGATGAATATGCTAGGATCTTTCGCAGTTGGGTTTGGTTAAGTCCTCCTCAGCCTCCTAATATGATTGATAGGGTCCCTATAAATAATATGAGGGTGGAGTTTATAGAGGATGCGATTTGGTACACGATAGAGATTGGGGCAATTTTTTGTCATGTTAACATGATGAGGCCTGATTTAAGTGGAATTCCTTGGGTAACTTCTGGGACTCATAAGTGAAATGGAGCAAGTCCTATTTTTATTGAGAGTGCGATTGTAAATATGAATGATGAGATTTGATTATATGGGTTAGATCGGGTTCATTGACCTGAGTCTATGAAGTTAATTATTGTGCCTATTATTAAGATTATTGACTCGGTGGCTTCAATGAGGAAATATTTGCATGCAGCTTCTGTGGATCGAGGATTTGCTTTATCAATTAGAATAGAGGTAATAGCTAGTATAATTATTTCTAGACCTACTCAATTTAGAAGTCAATATGCACTAAAAAGTGTGATTATAGTTCCAGAAAAGAGAGTGAAGTAGATTGCGGAGGAAGTTAGGGGATTAATTAGTACGGGAAGGATATAAACCAACATTTTCGGGGTATGGGCTCGATAGCTTATTTAGCTGACCTTACTATTTAGAACATGGTTTAAAAGGTAGCACGAAGAATTTTGAATTCTTAGGATTAGGTTCAATCCCTATAGTTCTAGAAATAAGAGGGTTTAAACCTCTATAATTTATTCTATCAAAGTAACTCTTTTATCAGACATATTTCTTAGATTTGGGGTGGTACACAAGCAGTTATAATTGGAAGAGAGATATGCCATATGCATAGGGCTAGAGTTAGAGGTAGAAAATTTTTTCATAAAAGATGCATAAGTTGGTTGTAACGGAACCGAGGGTAGGATGCTCGGATTCATAGAAAAGTGGAAGTTAAGATAAGTGTTTTTAGGGTGAAGTTTAATGTAAAAGTTTCAGGAAAAATGGGGTTTAGTAGTGCTCCTATAAAGAGGGTTACTGTTAATGCGTTTATTATGATAATGTTGGTGTATTCAGCTATAAAGAATAAGGCGAAGGGACTGGCTGCATATTCAACATTAAATCCTGATACAAGTTCTGATTCTCCTTCTGTTAGATCAAATGGAGCTTGATTAGTTTCTGCTAATGTTGAAATGAATCATATTATTGCTAGAGGTCATGTTGGAAATAGAAGTCATGTAAATTGTTGGGTGGTGATAAGTGTAGATAAAGTGAAGGACCCATTTATTAGAAGTACTGAGAGAAGAATGATTGCTAGCGTTACTTCGTATGAAATAGTTTGTGCTACGGCTCGTAGAGCTCCAATTAAAGCATATTTAGAGTTGGAAGCTCATCCATATCATAAAATTGCATATACAGCTAAACTTGAGGTGGCTAGGATAAATAGGACTCCTATATTTATATTAATAAGAGGTATGGGTATGGGTAGGGGGATCCATATGGTAAATGCTAGTGTTAGGGCAAGGGTCGGAGCAATAATAAATA